GTCCTAAGACATGTACTAGAATCAGCTAAAAACCCAACACATGGAAATCTTGGAGCAAATTGGAAAGGTCCATACAGAGTGGCCCAAGTAGAGGGCAGTAGATATTATGAGCTCGATACTTTGGACCATAAAGCAGTGTCACGTCCTTAGAACTCAGCTAACTTAAGAAAGTTCTATTTCTAAAAAGTACCTTTTTAATAGAACACCGAAGTGCCTTCGGAAGCTTAAGGGTGTCCCTTAAGAATCAATAAGTGATTAGGAAATGTACAGATTTGATCTGGAGTTATGAATAAAGATTTTTGAAGATTCATCTCCCTATTCTTACTCTACTATTCTTGTTATATACGTCCTATTATTAAGACAGGGAGGCAAAAAATTTTGATAGGAGTACAAACTTAAATTAGACAGCCACCCAATCTAATCCAGTCCCACAACTAGGCATGACGATGTAAGCTGATTAGGGATGGAGTTAAGTCCAACCAGATTGGCGAGTCAATGCGGGGTATAAACTATCTCTAAAACGCACAAGAGATCTGAGAATAACTCTACTGGAAAACCGAGTTCTTTAAAGTAGGGCCAAGCATGGACCATAACTTCGAGAGTCTAAAAATTTTTCAAAGTCTCTGTTGAGAGGCCGAGCTCTTTGAAGTAGGGCCGAGCAAGGGCCATAACTTCGAGAGTCTAAATTTTTTTCAAAATCTTAGTTAAGAGACCGAGCTCTTTGAAGTAAGGCCAATCAAGGGTCATAAATTCAAGAGTCTAAAATAAAATTTTCTTTAAAGTATCTAGTCTTTGTTAAGAGATCGAGCTCTTTGAAGGAAGGCCGAGCAAAAGCCATAACTTCAAGAGTCTAAAATAAAATTTTCTCTAAAGTATCTGGTCTCTATTAAGAGACCGAACTCTTTGAAGAAAGGCCGAGCAAGAACCATAACTTCAAGAGTCTAAGTATTTCAAAGTCTCTATTGAGAGACCGAGCTCTTTAAAGTAAGGTTGAGCAAGGGTTATAACTTCGAGTCTAAAAATTTTTCTAAGTATTTCAAAGTCTTTATTGAGAAACCGAGCTCTTTGAAGTAAGGTCGAGCATGAGCCATAACTTCAAGAGTCTAAAATTTTTTTTAAGTATTTCAAAGTCTCTGCAGAGAGACCGATCTCTTTGAAGAAAGCCAGAACAAAAGGCCTTAGACTTCGAAAGACAAGTTTTTTCCAAACTTCCAAAGTAAATTACAGAAATATTAAAAAGTAATTTTCATTCGAACTTCAAAAGAGTACAAAAAAGATCCTTGAACATGTACATCGAAAGTTGCAAAAATCTTTTAAGTATTTCGGGAAGCTGGAGGCTGAGAAGAGCTCGAAAGGGAATGTTTAGAGAAAAGTTCAGAGAAAGATTGAACTCCAGCAGCAGTCAGAGCGGCATGTCAGCCCTTGCCGAAGTACGCATCCTGTAGTTGAGGGATTTGTAAGGCCAAATCATTTTTTGTCTTCTCAATCCCCTCATCATAAGCAAATCTGCTCTTTTCTTTACCTCGGCCTTATATTGATCAAATTCTTCAAGAAGGCTTGTGTAATCTAGTTGGGACTGAGAAAGCTCCACATTGGCTTCGTGTTCAGAATCTTTTAACTTCCCAATTTCCACCAGTAGCTTTCGTTCTCCTCGGTCAGGTTACGATTTTGAGTCTGGAGAGCCTTAACTTCTTCACAGACCTTGGCGTATTCTTCATCTACAGAGTCCTTCTTTGCTAGAGCAGAGGCATGGGTGTGGATAGCATCTTTCATTGCTTTATCTTTTCGTGCTATCCTAGCCCTAACCTCATGAACTTTTTGCAAACCCTTAAAATTGAAGNAGAGACCGATCTCTTTGAAGAAAGCCAAAACAAAAGGCCTTAGACTTCGAAAGACAAGTTTTTTCCAAACTTCCAAAGTAAATTACAGAAATATTAAAAAGTAATTTTCATTCGAACTTCAAAAGAGTACAAAAAAGATCCTTGAACATGTACATCGAAAGTTACAAAAATCTTTTAAGTATTTCGGGAAGCTGGAGGCTGAGAAGAGCTCGAAAGGGAATGTTTGGAGAAAAGTTCAGAGAAAGATTGAACTCCAGCAGCAGTCAGAGCGGCATGTCAGCCCTTGCCGAAGTACGCATCCTGTAGTTGAGGGATTTGTAAGGCCAAATCATTTTTTGTCTTCTCAATCCCATCATCATAAGCAAATCTGCTCTTTTCTTTACCTCGGCCTTATATTGATCAAATTCTTCAAGAAGGCTTGTGTAATCTAGTTGGGACTGAGAAAGCTCCACATTGGCTTCGTGTTCAGAATCTTTTAACTTCCCAATTTCCACCAGTAGCTTTCGTTCTCCTCGGTCAGGTTACGATTTTGAGTCTGGAGAGCCTTAACTTCTTCACAGACCTTGGCGTATTCTTCATCTACAGAGTCCTTCTTTGCTAGAGCAGAGGCATGGGTGTGGATATCATCTTTCATTGCTTTATCTTTTCGTGCTATCCTAGCCCTAACCTCATGAACTTTTTGCAAACCCTTAAAATTGAAAAGAGGAGAAATCTTAGACAAATTTTGAGATAGAGAACAAAAGGCTTAAAGAAACAGAGTTTACCAAGATCATGTGATGAATAGCCTGGCGGGACACTTCATCATCAGTCAAAGCTTCGTTTATAGCAAGGTCCCGAGGAAGGATGACCCCTCTGGCAATCCCCACTGTAACGTTGAAATCTTCAATAGTAGAGTCTTTTACTGTGATCTCTCTCCTTTTGGCCTTAAGGACAGGTTTGAAAGGGGGATTAACTGGCTTAGGAGAGATAACCTCTTTAGACTCCACCACTTTTCACCTCTTCGGGGCGGGATCTTCAGAAAACTCAAAACTGAAACATCATCAACGGGGGAATGAACATAAATTGTTGGATCTAGTTTGGCAGGAACAGTCTCAGTGGCCTAAACCAGATCAGGTTGGTCAACCCTTGGCAGAACTGAATCATTTGGCTCAGAAGTTATGAGTTCGGTTGGAACCTCAGATGCCAGATTCTCTTTTTACATTGGGATTGAAGAAGCTGGTGGATCAATTGGTAGAGATGGCTCAGTGGAAAGAGTTGGATCAACGGTCGATAAGAAATCTAGAAAATTCTTCATTGTTTAGTTTCGTCCAGAATTGGCGGGCAAGGCTCTTTTGCGAGCTCGGGGTGTCTGCTCCCGAACAGTTTGAATGGCTTCCCGATCTACTGCTAGAGTAGCATTTGGTCAGTTTGGCACATCAATAAATGACATATAAGTTGGTATGTACCCAAGCAAGATATGAGCAGATCGGCAAAAGAGAGAATCGTTGAAATCCCAAACTTTCTTATTCATCCATTTTAATTGCTGACTCAGGGACTCTGCCCTTCATAGTCTCGCCTACAAATAGAAGACAATTAGTCAGAGACAATAGATGAGCCAAAAAAAAAGAGTAAAATTTCTCAATCACCTGGAGCACCTTCTTCATAGGAGCTACGATAGGGGGAGTAACTCCAGTAGAATACTTCCAGTTTCCAGAAACAAAGACCACGTCGTTCTCATGACCCTTGTTCGAATCTGGGAGATAAATGACCAGATAATGATCCTTCTTCCTCACTGCCAAGTAATAGTTGTCTCCAGTTGGTTTGATAATGTAGCAGTATAGAATCTCCCATAAACCAAGACTCAGTTCCGAAAGCTTATACAGAGCAGCTACCCCCTATCACTATCCTGAAAAAGTTGGGGCAGTATTGGATGGGATAGAGTTTTGTTGCAGAAAGCACCCAGAGGAGGAGAGGATTCAAAGGGAATCGAACTCCATCCTCAGTGATTGCTCGAATATGAATAGGATTACTCTCTCTTGTGCCTATCAGAGGTTCGCCTTTTCTTGCAACCCTTACATCAACATCATTTGGAATATTATATTTAGCTTTGAAAGCAGGAACTTCAGTAGAAGTAAAAGGGGCCATGGAAGAAGACGACCAAGAGAGAAGAAGATAAGACGAGAAGTTCGACGAGACAAAGTAAGGAGGGAATAAAAGAGAGTACTTATAAAAAAAGGAAATTCCAAAAAGCTATTTAAATATCAAGCATGCCGCCAAAACAAGGGGGAATGTTACAAAGTACAAGCAATGATGATTGAAAAGGCTGACAGATGAAAGACGTCTGACAGACGTTTTCTGGGGGCAAATGAAGGGGGTGTCACCCTTTACTACATGTGTCATAGCATTAAATAAGCTCACGTGAGAATGACAAGACAAAGCACGTGATGAAGACATCAGTCACTCGTTCAATAGACCGAAGCCGAGCTGTTCGATGAGTTTGGTGAGAATGCAAAGAGGTCAGTCCTCACGCAACCGAGCTGTTTCAAATAGTCAAACAAATAACAAAAGATTTGCCTATAACTCAAGCACCGAGGATAAGCTAATAGGCTTAATTATAGGTCAGGCCAAGAGAATTGCTAGAGAGATTTCAGCAACTTCTATAACAAAGTCGCCTAATTGAAGGAGGGTGTGCCACCTTGAATCGAAAATCATGAAAACCCTAATTGAACAGGGATCTATAAAAAGCAAAATGAGTCAAGGTGAAAGATACGCTGAACTCTCCTTATCTATTAGCAATTCAATCAATTCCATTACTGACTTAAGCATCGGAGTGTCTTCAATCAAAGCACTTCGATCTTGAACAGTTTACTCGTTTTACAAAAACAAAAAGAGTGAGAGTTCAAGTTCAGAAGGCTCTTTACCAGAAATACCAAATCATATTTCAATGTGAGAGATAATCTCACTTTTTGCCTCTTACAGTATTCAATGAAGTGTATAATCAATTTGGTTTTTTAGTGTCGCACATGGCGACTACGAGCCCAATGTTGATGGCGACATATTTCTTTTTTTTTTTTCAAAACACAATTAACAAAAGATTGAAATCAATTATTATAAATGCCTAAAAATTTTAGTTTCCAAGAGGTTCATTGAGGAACCAATTGAGCTAGAAAAATAATTAAGTAATTCAAACTTTGACAAGTTTTTGGGCTAGACTTTGAGGGATTTATAAATCATGAATTTGTTAATTCTAACGTGGATGGACTACATTTGATCGAACCGAAGAGAGAATTAGTCGAGGTGCACGTACGGTGGTCTGGACACCTCTAACCGTTGAACTAAAAAAAATAAACCATCAGCAAAGATCTCAAGAATGTGGCATAAATTGTTGCAACCTGCCTTTTGTGTCGCTCACATCAAAAAAGCACATAAACAACAGCATCATATAAGAGCCAACTCCAAGTCCCCTCAAACATTCAGACTGCACTGGGTTTATTCAAACCAAGGGGTTCAATAGAAGTATAGGACAGCGCCGGATCCATGACTGTGATCAACTTCTTCAAGGGGCTTGTACAACTCAATCACTGTAATGATATATATCCTTCCCACCTGAGGCATAATAAAAGGAGAATATCTAGAAAGATTTATTTAGAGGGTAAAAACCAAAAGAACAGAGTTTATGATCAGGAATGAACCTTCATGGAAGAGCACCAGTCCCAGATGAAATTGTCAAGATAAAGCCACATCACTGATCCATGACGGTTTTTTTGCATTATAGTAAAAATGAGCAATCATTTGGACCAGCTCATCTGATGTTCGGATATCTGCATATCCAGGTCAATTCAAATATGTAATACCAGTACTAAACCAGTCTACACATCAGAATTCTAAACATGAAATTAGGAACCTTACTTTTTTCCCTGTATAGGATGCGGTTTCCTCGTAGAAACAAAATTTGTGGGCTTTCTCTAACTTTAAGAGCATATGCTAAATCTCTCTCAATGTTGATGTCAATCTTGACAGTCTACATTGGTGAATTTCATGGCGTTCAATTAATATATGTGCCAACGTATTGGAAGAAATATAAGGCTAACACATATCCAGACGCAATCACAAAAAAGAATTACAACTGAATGTAATAAAAATAAATGATGAAATGGCCAAATAGAGTTTGGATACCCGAGGAGGCAATCGATCTTTGGCACTCCAGTACACCTTGGTTGCCTTCTCAAGCTCCTTCAAAACCTTCCAATTATGAGTCGCCCTATGGACAAAATGATGAGAAACAAATTGTTTTAAAACAATTACCCTGATGCAATGGTTGGAGTGGCCACACAGACAGAATTTCATGCAAAACAGACATGTTGACAAAGTACTGCACATCACTCTCCAGACCAAGTATGATCAGGTACATGAATTCCACTGCTCCATTATCCAAGATCCTACCCTAAGCAGAGATGCCTTATAATTTTGTGTCTATTTTCTATTTTCATGTGGTCCTTGCTTCAGAGCTCTCAACAGACACCAGTGAATTTGTCATTAGACTGTTCAAATACCTTTGTTCATAAAAAATGTGCATTGCAAGGCCCCTTTAGTTCGCAATTAATTTGTCTCAAAACTTCAAGATCAGTCAATTCTAAGACACGAAGTATGATTAAACTCCAAATAAAATCTTAAACCTATTTTTTTTTTCAAATGGCTGCTACCTTACATAATATGCATGCTTTTTACTTTTATTTAATGCTTTCCTCTTATTCATTCATTTAAGAAACCCTACTATAATGGGTTTTTTGAGTTACTTAATGCCGTTGTGGGCATGCATAAATGCTTCATTTCATATTCAACTTGCAAATATAAGTTTCCATAAGTTGACCATTTTAACCATATTTGCTTGATTAAAATATAAATCTATTATTACACTTAGTACTGAATACAAAGCTTTATGGAACACAAATGAAATTATCTGTTGAATACTTTCTGATTGATATTTTACAATGCCTATACTAAAAAAATTGCTATAACAATAAAAATTGCAATTATTTAAAGCATTAATTGTAGATTTTAATTTATTTGTGCTGACAATCCATTGAGGGTAAATAGAAAAACATATCTAGTATAGATAAGAAACTTAGAAGGAAATTAATTCCAAGTGGTTGAATGATATTAAGCATTAACGACTGCATTAACGACTAAAATACCTGTTATATCTTTCAAAAACGAGAACAATTAGTGGGCTAGGATGGAAAGCAAAGCTCTCCCATTCCAAGCAATTGATCTCCTTCACCAAGGTATCATCAATTTCTCCCTCCCAGTCAATCTCAACACCATCCTCGCCAACAATATTTTTGATTGGGTGCTTCTCAAAATACTCTGATGCCCTAATTCCCCATCCGACATCAGCATCCAAGGGCCAATCTGGATCATCCTCCTCAATCACCATCTCCTTTCCTCTTATATAACCATCCTTGTCATCTTCATCATTACTACCGTCGTCAGAATCGATCTCATCATCAACCATGTCCTTCATGATATCCTCCTTATCCTTCAAAATCTCTCCATTCTGTTGTCGGATTGAAGCAAATGTTTGTTGAAGTCTATCACGCACAAAGTCTTCAACTGCAGCCTTTTCACTCCTACGACCACGCCTTGGCTTTCTAGGTATTGTTGCAGGAAACACCCTATCAGGATTCTCATCTTTTTTCTGGGTAAGTTTGATGTTTTGCTGCCGAATTCTTTCTTTAGATATGGTATTACGTTTGGGACTAGGAATAGAATCAGGTTCCAAATCAGATCTCCTTGAAATGGATAAGCAAGTCAAATGTTTTATAATGTAATTTTGCTTCACCGCAGAAGGTAAGAGGAAGTTTGAACAAGAATAACTGTGACATATCGGGTTTAGGATCATATTGCAGGGATATAGTGGTGAAACAGAGTGAGTATCAATTTTGGTATTTTCAGCAGAAAGAAACAATTTCAACTCTGGGTAACTCGGTGAAACATTTCTCTATGCGGTTTGAAAGAAACATTCATTTCGATACAGAAGGCAGCTCAAAAGGTGCGTGACCCTGTAGGTGAGCACAAAACAGTTTTACCCGTCATAGATGGTCAGAATATATTGCCCAGTGTGTAAGAAAAGTTAACAAAATCCCATCAGATATTAGCTGATTATAAATTTGAATCTTACCTCTTCTCCACTTACAATGCCAATGATCTTAAGTAAGTAATTTATTACCTCCGAACACTATAGTCAATAACCCACATAAAATTCAGTTCAAATTCGCAGGGGAACCGTAGTTTTTTATCTTTAAATAGTGAAGAGAAAGACTATGAGATCGCTGAATAAGCAAACAATCAAACACATGGTATGCAACACTTATATATAAAATAGGAAACCAACTTAGACCGCATCATAGGATTACACCAAAGAACAAATTGACTCTGCATTAATCAAATGTCTTTTCCTCGCGAGAACGTTGTAAAAACGAATCAGTGCCCACAAACCAACAACCATGTTTCTGGAAAGTGGAAAGAATACGAAGTGAAACCTGAAGTATCGACCGTCTTAAACACAAACTGATTTAGATGGAGAGAGAGAGGCACCGTGTTGTGTGTTTTAGCTCGCCAGTGCTAACGAATGTCNAAGAATACGAAGTGAAACCTGAAGTATCGACCGTCTTAAACACAAACTGATTTAGATAGAGAGAGAGAGGCACCGTGTAGTGTGTTTTGGCTCGCCAGTGCTAACGAATGTGAGGAGTACAATGCTTTCCTGGTTTTTTAGCACACTACTGGATAAACGAAAAACAAGAGCAGGTCTTGGGCGACGGGTTTATCTCTAATTAATTCCCTCTCCTGGCAACCGTTCGAAAATAATGCTAGACTCATCGAAAAATGAGATCAAAAATAGAAATTACTATGATATAATTTTTTATAATAAAGTATAATATAATTTAAATTTTAAAAGATAAATAAATTGATTTTTACTTTTCGTGGTTGATATCTTTTTAAATTTTATTCTAAAATTAATTCGACGGCTAATATTAACACATCAAATTTAAGAGAGAAAATAGGCATCTAAAAGTGTGTTTGAAGTGACATTTTAAAAGTACTTCTACAACTTATAATTACTTATAAATATTTTAAAATAATAATAATAATTGGAATTACTCCACTACCACCCCCACCGCTCCACCACCATCACTATCACTGTCGCCGCCGTCACCGCCACCCCATCATCACCTACGCCACAACAACCACCACCTTTACCATTGTCGTTGCCACAACCATTACCGCCACCTCACCACCACCATCACTGTTACCGCCACCCTACCACCACCGTCGTTGCCGTCACCCTACCACCACTGTTTTGTCATCCCACCACCACCCACTACTAATTACTATTACCGTCGTCCACCACTACCACCTACCACAATTTTCATCTTATTCTTATCTTTATTACCATTATCATCGTTGCCTACTGTCAACACCCACCACTACCATTATTGCTCATCACCACCCGCTATCACAATCCACCACCACCATCCATCATTCCCACCATCGTCGTTATTCACTGTCGCCTACCCCCATCAAACTTACGACCACCACCAATCTTCATCACCCACTACTGTCACCCCCCACTGTCATCCACACCTACCATCATCACTACCACCACCGTTATTTACCACAACCCATCACACTGTCGTTCTAAAGTACTAGTCATTGCCCACCACCTCCATCATCACTGCCCACCACCACATCTCACCACTGTTGTCACCCCACCACCACCACTGTCAACCACCATCACCGTCACCCACAACCATTACTGCCATTACACATGACTGTCACCACCACTAGCATCACCATTTCTACCCATGATTGCCACCATCACCATGATCGTCGCCAGTCTCCACAACCATCATCATCCCCATACCACCACCACCACTACCACTGTTTACCCCAACTATAATTGGTGTTTAAATTTTTTTTTCTTTGTTTTATGTTTGTAATTTAATTTTGAGTGTAAATATAAATATATTTATTTTTGACTATTTTTTTATTATTTTGTACCTTCAAGCAATAATTAGTATTCTAATATTAATACTCTTGATTAGGGGTGTTAATCGAGACAATCGGCTTGGGATCGAGCTTTGCTCGAGCTCAATTTGTGTTACGAACAAATTAAGTTTAAATAATTTTTTAGACACATTTAAAAAAATTAATATAAAAAAATGCAGTTTGATGTCGCAAAGCTCAAGTCATCAGCTCGAGTTCAACCCGGGTTTAAGTTCGACTCATTTTTTAAATAAGTCAAACTTAAATAATTTTTAGGCTCGTTTATTAACATACTTTGGTTCAAGCTCGCAAAACCCAACTCATTATAACACCCTTACTTTTAGTCTATTTTTTATTTGTTTAAAATTTACATACCATATTAGTCTACTAGTAACAATTTGTGCTCGAAGGAATTATGCAACACAAAAAATTAAGCACCGATCGTGCAATAAAAGTATGTTCAATTAGTGCAGTATTACTCTTTTTTTTTAACAGGAAATTATGGCTTTCATTCAATTAAGAGTAGAACGATTACAATCATAAAGGATAAAACCTTTTTAACTCGGGTGGGAGACAGCTAATCCAACTCACTGGAAAGAAGTTGTTCATGGCTGATTCTACCATCCAATGAGCAACCATAATATTGTCTCTTGCCTTGTGTAAAAAATTAATATTTAACAACCTAGCATAATGTCTTAAATCTTCAATGAATATTGTGATTATGCATTGGGGAGTATCTTCGTAACATCTCTAACAATAAAAGTTAGTTTAGTTACTCAAAAAGCAACATTTTATATTTTAGCAATTCACTTTTTTAATACACGCTCCAATTGATTTTCTTTATTTTTAATTATTGTATTTAAATATTATTTCTCATTTTTTTCTATTATTTTTCTTTGAGAAAAGTGAGAGGGAGAGGGAAAGATAATGGAAGAAAAGAAATGATGAGAGAGAAAATATTATAAAATATTTATACATATTACTACGGTGACACTTTAAATATAGAGTATCACGGTAGCAAAATACTATTTTAAAGCATCTCCAAAAAATTAATTAAAGTACAAAAAAATTTTAAAATTTAGTTATTTTACTCTAAAATTCCACTAAAACTGAATATCTCCAAAGCATATAAAATAGTATTTTGCTATAGTGATACTGTAGCAATATATATAAACTTTTTTTAATATTTTCTCTCTCCTCCTTTCCTTTCCTTCCTTCTCTCTCTTTCACTATTCTCAAAGAAAAACAATACAAAAGAAATGAGAAATAATATTTAAAAAAAATAGTTAAAAATATAGAAAATTTGTTATAATGTGTTAAAAAAGTGAGTAACTAAAACAAAAAATTTTATTTTTTGAAATGTTAAACTAATTTTTTTTATGGAAGATGCTCTTACATATTTTGAAGATATTCTATTAGAGTTAAATTTTAAAGGTTTTATGGCTTTTACCCACTCTCCTTGAAATGCTTTCAATTAAGCATAGTTTGATGACTTCCAAGCCATCATTAATCAATTTTTTTTTGGTGAACATTAATCAATTACTCGTTGAAAATGATGGCTACTGTTCAGTAGCTTTTAACAGGGACTTGACTATGGTAAATGGGTATTTTTATAATTTTTGTAAGTTGATTTATAATTAAAAAATTATTATTTTTGTAAAGAATTTATTATTTTTGTAGATATTTTTATCACTATTGCATATATTTTTACAATATTTGTAATAACTATTTTTACCAATTTTCTTTGGTACAAAAAAATTTATCACATTTATGAGTGTTTTTATTATATTTGTGAATACTTTTACTATTGTTGTGATAACTATTTTTAGGGAAAATTTCAACCAAACCCTCTCTAGTTTATCATATTTTCAATGATACCCCCTCTAATTTTTGAATTTTCAATGACACCCCCTGTCAGATTAAAAATATTAAGTAGAATGTAATTTTATTAAATTGCCCATGATATATTTGATGACCAATTTCATCCACATCCCCTCTAGATAAACATATATTCAATGAGACCCCCTCTAGATAAGTATATTTTTAATAAGACCCCTTCTGTTTTCTAATTTTTTTTATGTAATTAAATTTGAACCAATTAAAATTCGATTCAAGCTAATTAAAATTTATTTTTTTACATATTATAATTTATGCCAATTAAAAATTATATTTTTTTTACGTATTAGAATTTGGGCTAATTAAAATTTTGTTTGAGCCAATTAAATTTTTTTTTAATCAACTTAAATCAAATTTTAATTAATTCGCATTGAATTTTTATCACCCCAAATTTTAATATATAAAAATATATGAATTTTAATTGACTAAAATTTTAATAAATCTAATTTTAATTGACACGAATTTTAAGAAGTAAAAATATATAAATTTTAATCGACTCGAAAGAGAATTTTAATTGGTACTAACAACTCGGGTAGAGTTCAAATCGGTTCAAATTTTAATATGTAAAAAAAAAAATTAATAGGCTCGATTTTTTTAAAAAAATTACGAATTAATAAATAACAAATTAGTATTTACTAACAAATTATTTGCTAAAATTATTATTTATGATTTTTTAAAAAATTTTAGCATCTCGAATTTTAATAAAATTTTATGTAAAAAAATTACTTGAGGTTATGTAGGGGCATTTTTGGTATTTTAGATGATTTTTTTTTTTAGAAATAGTAGTTTAATGGTAGGGGGTATTAATAATATTTAAATTAAACTAGAAAAGGTCTCATTGAAGATTCAAAAATTAAAGGGAGTGTCCTTAAAGATATGTTAAATCAGAGGGCCTGACGTTGAAATTTTCCCCTATTTTTGGGGTACCACATCAGTGGTAAAAGGATTTACAAATATAATAAAAGTGATCACAAATATAATAAATTAATATACGACACCAATTTTTTTTTTTGATACTATAATCAAATCATTCCAATAGAGGAGGAATTATTTCATATGTTTAGAAAACACCAATGATTTTTCATCGGTGTCCTTCATCTAACTCACGTGATATGCACATACCTTGTTTTATTTTACTAGTTTTAATGAAATCGAATGGAAGAATCATATTTAATCAAATAAAAAACTTGAAGAAGAACTCAATTAATAAAAAATTAAGGCTAAGGACTTAATTAAAACCGACAGTGTAATTCACAAGTCATTCGAATAATTTATATTCATTCGTTTACAGCTCAACTATTGACTCTTGAACAGTTACATCTTACGAACTTTGAGTGACGCAAAACCTATGTGCTTCATCGCAGGCATCCGAGGCTTACTTGTGAAGATTTTTTTTTTGCTAAATATAAATTGAAATTAAGTAAAAAAGGATTATAAAATATATCAAGCATCGAGGCTCGACACATCACCCTACCTTGCGTCGGGACTTTAGGCGATTTAACAGTTCTTAAACTAACACGTGGATTGATACAGCTGTTATGGAACTCAAAAAGCACTGAATAATTATTTTTTAGAAGAACTGAGTGAATAGGTTAGAATCAGTATTTAAGGAGATATGTCAGTTCATTAATAAGAACTTAAATAACTATGACAATGCTATTAACGAGTCTCTGCATCCTCGAGACCTCAAATTGACAGTCATGATTACAAAACATTAATAATTATAGAGCTGACCAGGTGTCCTCAACAAATCCCGAAATACTGTACCTCAAGCATTAAAAACTCGAAAATAGGTGTCAAACACCAATCAAAAGAACTTAAATGACCAAAAGTAGTCATAAGAATCTGAGTGAAAAACACTTATTATACGTGGAAGAAGAGTGCAAGTCATTAAATGTTGTGATAGGACTCAAGACCTTTGCACTCATTACTAGTATAAATATAAATACTTATCAAAAAAATGAATAAAGATACACAAATTAAACTGAGAAAAATGCATTGTGCTCAAACCTCTAACGCTCACTAACTTAAGCTTCGGAGAAGATAAGCTGAGTGTTCATCCGACCCCTTTCCTAATCTTTATTAGTCTTTTCAGGTTCACCATCAAGAGGATCGTTATCTCTATTCATTGAAGGAATTCTCCCATGCACCTTGGAAAATATTACTTCTTAATAAATAAATAAAGTTAATAACATTTTTTGTTCTTAAAATATAAACATTTTGTTAAAAATGACAATTTTATCCTTAAAATATTTAATTAAATGGTGTTTACACAAATAGATTGAAATAATCAAGTGATATCTTTTAAAAAAATGACAAGTTGTAATTTTTATCAAAAAATTTATCGAATTATTTGATTAGAGACAAAGTGTATAAATTAAAATTTTAAAGACTAAATTAATATAATTAATACAATAAATATTAAATCGATAAAATCAACATAATTTAAGGAGAAAAAATATTATTAACCCAAAAAAAAAAAAAAAAAACCATGTCCCATGTGCAACGGATAAGCAATCCGACACATCACATTGGTCACCAATAAAAAGAAAGCTAAGTTGGAGTTGGATCGACGCTCTGAGGTGGGCCCCACCGGTCTTCAGCAGATTCCCTAGTTCCACATGGATCCGATTTTTCCAAGCAGAAGAGTATAAACCAATGAATCCCCTCCACGTGGTGCAAACGCATCATCACAGCTTCATAAAACGAGAGAGATGGGTCGGGTTGATAATACCAGGCAAGTGGGCCCCATTTCCCTTGAGCAGATCCGCTACTTCTACGTACCTCTGATACTTCTCTACACCCGCATTGGACTTCACACTCGCTTCATCTGCTTTCTGGCTATACTTCTGCTTCCTAAACTCGGCTGAATCTGTTGATACAGGCACAGCCTCGGCTCGAGCTGGATCCCACGGCTCACCGAAAAGAGTGCCCTTCGTCAGAAACTCGTGAGCCAAATAACCAGCCAGAAGCTGATTATTCATATCCGGCTGGGAAGGTCTGGGAGTGGTCGGCTTGTCAGCTCTATGAACACTCGGCTTGGCTAGCTTTGAGGTTGTTAACGGTTTCACGGCGTCAAGGCCGTCTCTGTCTTTCCGCTTATTTGACGGCACGGACGTCAAGTGTCGACGTGGATGGTTCAGCATTATTGCACTCATGACTCGTTGTGTACCACGTCAGCATCAATAGGTTACCAGAAATTCGAGACACATATTGGGGAAAATGAAAATTGTAAAAACTAAAAAGAGGGGTGAAAGTGTAATAAAGTGAAAAGTAAAATGTCAAATAAAAAACTCTAAAATTGCTTCTGGATATTTAACGCATAATTATAAAAATAAAATAAAAAATATACTTTGAGAGAGAGAGAGAGAGGGGGGGGTTATGCTCAGAGTTTAAAAGGCAATTTAACAAAAGCCTCGCCCTTAAGCCAGAGAGAGAGAGAGAGAGAGAGAGAGAGAGAGAGGAGAGAGGAGGGGCAGGAGAAAAGGAAAGAGGGAGGGAGGGAGGGAGGGAGGGAGAGAAAGAGGGAGAGGCACAGGAAGAGAAGAAATGGGGGAAAGATTGGTGTTATTTATAGTGGAGACAATAATTGATTGCCCCTGTGGTTTGGTAAAATTACAGGGGAAACCAAGAAGGTGTGAAATGACAAAAAAGCAATGCTCTCTTAAATGTCATTTTTTAATGCTTTACCTATTTCGGGTTGCCAAGCAAAGAAGTTATCAACGAAAGGTCAAATAGATTCCAGATTAGCCATAGGAGTTGTGATGCTGCTATGTTTTCAGGGTGAATTTTCTAAACACCCCGCCACCCAAAAAACAGTAAAAACCATGTGATAGTAAGAGCAATGTAATATAATTTAAATTTAAGATCTCAAATTAATAAAAATTATTGGACCAGTAGATCCCATTAAAAAAAAATTAATAAGACTTATTCATTCAATAATTCTCGTTCATTTGGAATTTAAATTTGAGTTGCATAGTATTTTTTTTTAAATAAATAATTTTTAAATTTTGTCGCCATTAAGTAAATTTTAAATGTACGCAACCACTAACAAATTACATTCATTCACTCAATTATGACATTTATTGTGCAGTTCAAACACGTCAACTAAATTTGTTGAATAACTTTTAATATATATTTTTTTCTTTTTTTTTGTTTAACCATTAGAGATATCTAAATTAATTTACGTACACCTCAATTAATCTCCTCTCCAGTCTAATTAAAAATAGACCATCCATACTGAGATTAAGGTATTCATGAGGGATAAATCTCTCTTGGCTTATTTCTGATTATACCTCAAATAAGTTCTAGCTGTGAACTCAGTTTAGGAGGTCAGGTCAGGAGGTCAAGTCAGGTCAAGAGGTCAGGAAAGACACGAAAAATTCAGAGAACCAGGGGTGGAGCTCCCCTTGGGGAGATCATAGCAGAACCGACCAGGAAATAGCTGGATGATTGTGGAAATTGGGCTCCATGCATGAAACTCTCAACCAACCAAGATTATCTCCTAAAATCAAGAAGGATCTCATGAATAATGTGCAAAGATCTCGACTGAAATCCCACAGAATAGGAGTCAACCTTATAAATACAATGTAACGCCTCATCGAGAGGGGGAGCCAAAAAGAACCCTAATTGGATTATGCACTGTCTTGTATTACATTCAAATAATCAATAGAGAAAAAAAGGAGCAAGAACCTCCATTTGAGAGTGGATTAGTCGAACTCCAAAGCCGATGAACCACTATATTCTTACTGTGTAAATTCTCCTATCCCCTAAGAAACACTTCATCACTACCATCATGAAGTTGGCAACCTAACTTCACCATTGGTCCCACGCACTCTGTTCACCCACAGTCTGCACCATCAGTTTGACACCGTCTGTGGGAATGACTGTTCTTGTTACAAATAAGTTGATCTTTCAGTGACTGATGGTGTCAACACGAAACATGAGCAAAAGCCAAACAAACTCATCTCAGATGCAGGACCAACAGGGAGCCACCAAGAACGTCCCAAAAATTGATCCTCTCATGGAAAATCCCCCCACAAATAACTAGATGGAGGCCCTTCGCCTCGTTAATCAGCGCTTAATAAAACAAAACGAGGAGCTCTTGAAGTTCTTACAGCGCCCACAGAAGGCACGTCCCGCCCAAGAAGGTCAAAATAGTCCCCATTGTAGGGATCAACAACACCTTGATCCACTTAGAGAAGACAACGAAGGAGAGGAGAACAGCCAGACCTTGGGGCAAGTTCCCTAACTACCCCCTTAGAAACGACTACAATGAGAAAGTACAAAGTCAAAACCATGAAAGTGAAAAGAATGATGTCTTCCCTTATCAGCAGGAGAGAAAGGAGCAATATTGGGAGCAACGCTTCAAGGGCATCCAACAAGAGCTCAGCCACATGAAAGAAGCGGGCAGAAGTAAAGCTCCAGTTACAATGGACGTCTTGGTGCGGCAGACTGAATCTCCATTCACGCTTGGGGTGTTGCATTTTCCCCTCCCACCAAAGTTCAGGATGCCACAGATAGAGTCCTTTGATGGAACCAGGGATCCCATGGACCACCTCAATACTTATAAGAATCAGATGTAATTGCACGGGTACTAGGACCCCATACGCTGTCGAGCCTTTGCCATCACTTTGAAGGGTTTAGCCTTGGCTTGGTTTAACAGGCTCTCCCCAGCCTCAATCTCTTCCTTCAAAGAGTTTTCCATTTTTGTTGTATCCCACTTCATAGGGGCTCGAACCTATAGAAAATCGAGCTTTCACCTTTTGAATATGAAACAGGGACCACAAGAAAACCTCAGGTCATATGTCCAAAAGTTTAATTCGGAGTAATTAAAGGTGGATGTCCTAGACGAAAAGTTCGTCATCATTACCTTCATAGCTGGTCTAGGGGTGCAATCTAAAGATTTGATGTTCTCCATATCAAAAAATCCCCAAGCAAGCATAGCCGAGGTGCTTGCCAAAGTGGAGAAATACATAAATGGCGAACAAGCTTTTCTTTCTAAGGTAGGGAGCTCTTCCGCACGTAGAGGCAAGGAAAAAGAAGAGAAAAAGAGGAACCGAAGTCCCACAAGAGAGAGAGAAAGAAACAGATCTCCAAATAAAGATACATCTCCCAGAAGAGACAAATGGCGATTCCCAAAAAGAAGGGGGAACGTTAGGGACCGCTTAGGCCCTCCGCAGCCTGAACTACAGTAGAGGTATGCACCTCAACAATATATCCCTCTCATTGCGACAGTGTCCCAAATCCTATACGAGGTGCAGAACGAGAAATTTCTACGGTGGCCTCCACGAATGAAGATAGATCCATCTAAAAGATACCCTATAAAATATTACGAGTATCATAGGGATCATGGTCATCATACCGATGATTGCATTTAGCTAAAGAAGGAGATCGAGTTCTTGATCAAGAGGGGACAATTACGATGATTTGTCGCCCATGACAACTAGAACAGGGCTCCACCACCACCGGCACCTCAGCAACAAGCCCCTGCGCAACACTAGCAACCCTTAGGGGAGATCAGAGTGATATCTGGAGAATTTTCTGATGGTGGAGAATCCAGTGCAGCCAGGAAAGCACAACTGCGCAGATCAGAGTTGGCGAAGTGCTGGAAGTACACACCGTGTCCAAAATACCTCGGCTGAGTATAACCATCATTTTTTTGTATTTAGACTTGGAAGACTGTCAGTATCCCCATGATTACCCATTGGTTGTAAGGGCATTGTGCCTAACCAAACGGTTCATCGAGTTCTAATTGATAATAGGAGCTCGGTCGACATTATTTTTGCCTCTGCCTTTGATAAAATGAGTATAGGAAGGGAGAAGCATGAGCCAGTGAGTGATCACTTGATGGGGTTCTCAGGGGAGAAGGTGCTACCCCTGGGATCCATCCAACTCGTGCTCACTATGGGGGACCCTCCTTGTCAAGCCACCACCACTGTAAAATTCCTGGTAGTTGACGCCCCTTCTGCGTACAATATACTACTTGGGAAACTATCCCTCAACGCAATGAAGGCTATCCCCTCAGCATATCACCTGGTCGTAAAATTTTCTATAGAAAATAGAGTTGGAATGGTCCGAGGAGACCAACGAATAGTCAGGGAGTGCTACATGGCCTCGGTGAAGCAGAAAGAGGTTAAAACTATCCAGCTAGATGAGCTTGACATGAGAGACAAGCTAGACACCAAGCCCATATCGTCAGAAGAGCTAGAGCTAGGCCAGCTCGTTGAGGAGCCTGAACAAATTATTTATATGGGATCTAAGTTGAGCCAAGAAATGAAAGACCTACTCATCCAGTTCCTGAGGAAGAACATGAGGGTGTTCGCTTGGAAGCAAGAGGACATGGAAGGCACTAACCCCTCAGTCATCACACACAAGCTAAGCGTGAATCCCATTTGTAAACCTGTTAAACAAAAGCAGAGAAGTTTTACTCCAGAACNGGGCGATAGAGCTCAACGAATTTGATATTAGGTATAAGCCAAGGACTGCAATCAAAGGGCAAATTTTGGCAGATTTCATCATAGAATTCACTGTAGTAACACCCGCAAAAGTCACATTGCTAATACATGACCTTCCCGTATTAAAACTTTTGGTAGACAGAGCTGCCAATGCCCAAGGAAGCGGCGCATGATTGATCTTGACCTCTTCAGATGGAATAAACATGGAATACGCCCTCAGGTTTGGGTTTAAGGCTTCAAATAATGAGGTAGAATATGAAGCTATCATTGCTAGGCTCAACCTTGCTCATTCAATGGAGGCAGAGCCGTTGGAGATCAGCAGCGATTCTCAGCTTGTCGTGAAACAGATAGATGAGTCATACGAGGCTTAAGGTGAGAAAATGGTTCTCTACCTCAGGATGGTACATGAATTGATCAAGAAGTTTGTGTAAGTTAAGTTCAAGCAAGTTCCTAGAGCCAAAAATTAGAGAGCAGACGCTTTGGCAAGGTTGGCAACAGCTTCGCAGGAGAATTTGGATAGATTAATTTCAGTGGAGCATTTAGCAGAACCATCTGTATGCATAGAAGACGAAGAAGTTCTGCCTATTCAAGCACCACCGAGCTGGATGGACCCNTGAAAAATGGCGGCTCTGCATTGATTTCACTAATCTCAATTGAGCATGCCCCAAGGACAACTTTTCCTTACCTCGAATCGACTTGATCGTGGATACAACTGTTGGGCATGAGCTCCTCAGCATCATGGATGCTTTCTCAGGTTATAATCAGATCAGGATGGACCCAGCGGACCAGGAAAAGACTTCATTTGTGATTGAATAGGGAACTTACTACTACCAGGTCATGCCTTTTGGATTGAAGAATGTTAGAGCCACCTATCAGCTGTCTAGTGAATAGAATGTTCCAGAAGTAAATTGGGATATCCATGGAGGTCTATATCAACGACATGTTAGTAAAATAATTGAAAGCAGAGCTGCACATCGAGCACCTAGCTGTAAAGGAG